AGAAATGGAATCACGGCTGGCAAATCCATAAAACCACGGCTCGAAAAATTCAGTCGCGGCTCGCCAAGTAGATATATTCCATACTAGATCTGTACTCAAAAATTTAAATACTCTAAACTTAGAGTCTTAGACTAAGCCTTTGGCAGGTTTGGCTTATATCAATATCTAATCATTAATCAAATCGCAAAATCAATTATATTTATGGATTGTCAATGCTAGTAATAATTCATTTAGATAAAAAAAAACAAATTTTGAATATATAAATCTCGACTGTCATAAATTCAGTTTAAATTAGTAAAAATGGGCCTAGTGCCCGCTAGTGGACGGTGTGGACCAATAGAATGAATTTTGTTCACCTAGCTACTTCTGACAGTTCTGTCTTCTTCAGTTGATCAGTTCTTGGGCAACACAAACAACCAAATCCTTATTACGGGCACAATATTTCTCAGGCCTGAATTTAATAAAAAGCCTGACATTTTTCTTTAGAAGCTATTAATCATGGTATTACTCACCTTCTTCATTCTCCATCATTAGAAATTAGAGCAAATTCCAGAAGCCCCGCTTAACATACGCCATGGGCACAGCAACTGACATCACGAATGAGTCAACAATAAACGAACGGAAGAATCTGTACCTGTCTGGAGGGTGTTGACCGGCAATAATGTATAGATGAATGTAATCGGTGTGAGGTCACTTTCTTTTAGTGCCGTCTAGATGCGAATTTTAAATTGTTTTAATTTAATAAGTGTGATATTGTTGAGAGCATGGTTGAATTTTAATATTCAACCATGGTTGAGAGTATCAGCACTAAAAAATTTAAAGAAATTAGTTTATTTAACCTTTGGGTTCGTTTTTCTCATGGTAACTTTTGATCTAATGCGTTAATTAATTACAATTTATACTCATGTGTGAAATACTGAAGTAACAGCTAAATAACAGATAAATAATTATGTTTATTTTGAAATTTTGATGCGCACAAGGTGAAAGCAACCGAATGTGCAGGTTTCCTGTGAGTAAAGCAATTGATCTGCAACCATAATGTATATTGCTGCAATTTTAGAACCTCAAAGACAATTCTCAGGACGTGTCGGACAATTTTGCGGTCTGACCCTCGGCCAGTCTCCAGATCTAATAACCAAGGAATATCTCCCAAACTAATAAACGCTGCTCAGTCCGATGAAACTTGCTACCTACATGTATTCACTAGAATCTAACGTTGATGCTTGGCTAGTGAAAAAAATTTCCGATTTCACTTGCATTCGTGAGTCATACCGCAAAACCGGCCGAAATCCACAGTGACCAAGCATTTCTTTTAAACTAATGAAAATATTTGAACATAAATTTTAATATTCATTCCTGACCACCCAACGGTGATGTTTAGCTCATGAAGCTGAAGTGGTACGCGTCAATGTGCACATGAATGATCTGCAAAAGATTCGAATTATTACCATTCACACGTTCAACAACGGATTTAACATATTAACAGAGCTAAGCAGCGCTACTTTGAAATGTAGCGGCAGCTACTGCTACCGCTACGTGTTCTAAATGTAGCACCGTTACCGCTACCGCTACTGAAAATGTAGCGCGCTACTGCCCACCTATGGCAACAACTAACATGTTGACACTAGTAACAGGCTGAGGTTGACAACATTACACCGAAATATTTCGTACAGTTTTATTCTGTAATTTATATCACGTATGTATCATGCTGGTTTTTAAATAATATTTAATACTATTAAGTAAAATCTAAAGGCTTTATCTATAAATGTAGCGGTAGCGCTGAAGCGGCAAAACCTCATATCGATACTTAAATATGTAGCGGGCGCTACCGCTACCGATACAATTGCTTAAATGTAGCGCCGCTACCGCTACATGTAGCGCGTACCATATAGTGATACTACTGCCCACCTCTGCATATTAACGTACCATATAGTGATGTCGGCGCTGAAAAAGTATGCCTGTGATGTGGCCTGTTGCCGATTCTTTTACTTTTCGTGACTAGTCCACAGGAGATCTAAAAGCAGTTCCTTCGACCGGATCTTTTCCAAACTGACGATAGTTTGAAATAGCTCCTGGACTTCCACCGGGATCGATATGGTACTAGGCATTTCAAGTCCGAACATATATTTCTCCATAGCTTTATCTAGTATGTTCTTGAACGCGTTTATACTTGGAGCGTCAACGATGTAATCGGGGAGGCTGTTCCACATGTCGGTGATTCGAAGCGAGAAGAAATGTTGTCGCGTGGATGAGTAGCAACAGACTTTTCAATCATTACTCTCTCGTTGCAACCATGTCTTCTCATACTGTAATCTTGCTGTTCATTGTTCTTCCCGAAGTGAATTACTTCACACTTGTCAGCATTAAAGCTCATGCTGCAACGTGTCAGCGCAGTTAATCAACTAAACTGTTAAGATCATCTTGTAATTTCACTTTATTCAACGCATCCTTCACTGTATTATAAACTTTTGTGTCGCCAGCATACATGGAGCACACGCTCGACACTATTTCTGGCAGAGCGTTTATAAAAGCAACGAACAAAAGAGGCCCAAGACGGTTCCGTGTGACACGACACCGCGCACTGATGCCCAGTCTGATACGGTTATGTTAATACTGACACGTTGTCGTCTACCTAATAGAAAATCTCTGATCCATTGGAGTACGTTTCCCACTATTACAAAAGACTTCACTTTACGCAACAGTCGCTCATGCAGAATACTGTCAAATTCTTTGGCAAAATTGAGGTACACTGCATGCGCCCTTGCCCTCATCAGAGGATATCTTGCGTTTGTCTACTTTCAAATCAGAAATACCGTCCTTTGTCTTACACTTCGAATTAGCGTACAAAAAGAAGGCTTTTGGGTTCTTTTTTCTTTTTTGTTAATATATATATATTTTTCCCCATGTTTTCACTGCGGTGCGATAGATATTTATAGCTTGATTTCGAGTTCTTGCATATAGGTTATAGTCAGCAGTGCTGCGAGTTCGTAAATAAGGCTGAAAGGCTTCAGTCTTGGTTTTCAGCTTAGCTAGAACTATAGTGTTCTTCTACTGAGCTTTTTTGCTCCACCAAGCTTAATTTTAGGTGCGCACTCATCAACTGCAGACAAAACTGTGTCCTTGCCCAATAACTCGCGAACGAAAGAGAAATCGAAAAAAAATCAGGAACTAAACATCACCTAATAAATACGTGGAAAAAGTTACGTTAAGCTCCGTTCATTACTTTGGGAGATATTTCTTGGTCACTGCAAATTTGAAAACCGGCCGCAAAATCGGTCACAGAAATGGCGGTCCTTCCTCCGTATAGTCTTATGTCCCGCAAACGAAGGCAAAATAAAAAAAATTGCCTGGAGCTAAACATTATCGTTATATAATATATATATTAGGCTGTTGGCCTGTCACCGAATCTTAACATCACAGAACAGTCACAGCTTGTTACGGTCTCGAACTCTCAACTTACTGCTCGAATTCTGTTGAATGAATTTTGCGCCAGTTGGCTGGGATCGAACCCGCACTTCTCTGCTCCAATCCTGGTACCCTGAACTTTGACCACTGGGCAACCCTGCCATAATGCATATACATAATTTAACCCTGGGCCACCGTTGGGCAGTTAGGAATGTATATTCAAATTTTCATTCAAATCTGTTCATTAGTTAAGAAGAAATGTCTTGTTCTCTGCAAATTTAAGCCCGTTTCACCGTATAACTCACGAATGAAGGTGAAATTAAAAATTTTTTCATGAGCAAAGAATCACCGTCAAGTCCTAATGAAAACCTGTACCAAGTTTCGTCGAGCTGCGTTCATTAGTTTAGGAGATTTTCACTGGTCATTGAATTGGGATATATTTCCTGGAGACCGGCCGTGAGACCGGCTGCGAGTCCGGCCGTAAAATTTTCCGAGACGTGTAAACTGGTTGCGAACGAACTTGCGAAGATGAAGTATTCGCTAGTCTCCAATACAAAATGAGAGTCGGTGATTCATTTTCTCCAGTTACTTTTATAAAAAAACAACAACCACTCATACATTTTTCTCGAAGATTTCCCTTTTATTTATTGCGTAAGACGCGTATGAGTGCCCTCGACAATACGCAAAGCATCGAGTCCGTGAGACGTGAACTTACACAACACAACATAGCATAACATAACATAACATAACATAGTGATCTCGGCGCTGAGTGTCCTTCGGGGACTTTGTATAAACCATGAGTATACTTGTATACTTCAATGAGGTCCCCACAGACGTCGACAACTGAGGCTTGGAAGCTTCATAATCTTTCTTCATAGGACTTGCCCTTCAAGCCTGGAATTATCCTTATTGCGCGTCTTTGAACATTCTCTATTAAATTTTTGTCCTTATCAAATCTCGGTGACCACACAACGTTTCCAAACTCTAGATTCGGGCGCACGACAGCAACAAACAATTAATTGCTTCATCGCTTCTGCATCGAGGAACTCGTATGAGCGTCTGATTAATCCAAGAAGTTTGTTGAATGTGTTAGCTTGCGTTTCAACCTGCTTAGAAAATGTTAGCTCCTTGTCGACATAAACTCCGAGATCTTTTTACAAGGTAAGAGTGTATTATTTTAGTCAGTAAAGAAATTAATTCCACGTCGACGAGGTCTTAGGACTTAGAAGATTTGAATTCTGTTCCCAGTTATGTACTCAGACAAGTTGGCGTAAACTGAAATATTTATTAGAATTAGAAAGTTTTATTTCGGTAGTTCAAAGGAGACTGTTAGTTCAAATGAGTTTTAATTCAGGTAAGACAATTACTAAACAATGCTCATTTGCTATAAGCCTCTATTAGTCACTTGCGCTGTTGCATGCTTTAAAAATCGATAATTAAATATAATTTGAACTTTGGCCTCTTGTTAAGTTCTATTATGCAAATTTAAGCTAGTAATCGTTATTTTATTTCACATGCCAAAATTACTCTTCACAACGATATGATGTTATAGAGTATTACTCATCACAACGATCTAATTACGTTTCATAAATAGTGTAGGATTGAATATTCAACATAAATGTTTCTTCTACGTACGTAAAGTCATGGTTGAACTACCGTAGTACTTCAACCATGCGTAAATGTGACGGACAAGTACCGGTCTGTCTCTTATACACATCAGATGTGTATAAGAGACAGGGTTTATGCTCCAGTGAAGAGACAGTGAATGCACCAACTGTTCCTCACATAACTTTGTGGATTTATGTGTCAGTGAATAGATGGTCTGTCAAGTGTTCCCATAGAAAGAAGAGTGTTCCATTTTTTTTCTGCACAAGCAGTACCTAGAACGTAGTAAAGCGGGATGGCTGGTGGAAGGTCCATCAAAAAAAAAATCAAAAAGCATCAGAAAAAATGAAGTTGCCCCCTTCACATCAGTCTCAAGAAGACTGGAAAGGTCGAGGCGAGGCACAACCAAATGAGGTTGACACGTGTAATTTCTGCTTGAAAGATTTCACCGATGCAGGTGCCCAAATGGTTATTTGTGAAAGATGTGACAAATACATATGCGTGTCCNTGCTCTCCTGCTGGCGACCTGTCCACTTCTCACCTCGTCAATGGTAGTCTGATATCAAGTCAATTTAATGTTGTTAATTTGTAATCTTGCGCTCCGAGGATTAAATAGTTCGTTCACGGAGACTTTGCGTACTCATCAATGATAAACATAAATATTACAAATATATATCAATGAAAAAGGAATTAACACGAATCGTAAACATAGTAAATTGATCTCAATAGCGGCAAGCTATAGGTTACGGCTTTACGATCCCAACAAAGAAAAAATTAAATAGCCTCTAGCATATTAATAAACAAATAAAACGATTATTTAAGACTTATTTAAAATTCAATTTAATTTATAGTAGTTTCTATTCGCAATCATACCTCTGGAGGTGCCTAATTTTCGTTAAAATAAACATTTCAGCAGGTTATATCAGTATAGTCCTTCACTCTGACAATCGCACTCTTAATGTTTACTTGGTTAAGATGAGGCGCGTCACCTTCTTGAGTATTGGCGCCCCACTCTTAATACGCAACCTAAAATGTTGATTTGGTTCAGGCTCTTACATTGCTACTTTGAAAAGTTAACGCAATATTCGTAATAGAAATGTTATTGTGAATATTGTCAGTGTACTGATTGATAATTCGAGCAATAATGATTAAGTATGAACGAATCTGCTCAAAGTTTTTGCTCATCTGAACATTGTGGAATCGATCGTTTAATCGAATCATTTCTTCGAGTTGAACGGACATAAATACGAACGGTTTCAAATACACAAAATATTTTCAGAACAAATCTATTCAAATGATGGACACAGACATTATAGGAATAATGAGGGGATAAATTTTACAAGATCCGGCGTGAGCAATCTGTTGGGGTCCATAATCGCTATAGCTGATGCCACTTTTTCGTTAATACTTTCATTACTTTGTTACTATTACCTCTCGGCGATCAGGCACATGACATTGTCTTCTATTCGGGATTCATATCTTTGCGTTCCTCTCCTATTTGGTAACGTTGGGACGTCTAATGTTTACGGAATAAAGGATTATGAACCCTTGTGGCTACAGACTACAGTCGGGCCTCAGCGGGGTCGGGATTAACGTTTCTGAACAGACTTCATGTGCTCGTGCAAGTCGTTGCTCACGTGTGGACTCGATAATAATAGCATTCAATTAAAACGGAAACAGGTTTCCATAGAGGACGGTTCCTCTGTCGAAAACGTTCTCAATGTTTTATTTAATATAATTGCACTTATTTACAGAGCATTAAGCTCGAGTTTTTCAGTATTCCAGCCAACTCTTCACCGCAATTTTCAGTCATTATTTCTGAGTTACTTGCAGTAAAGACATTTTGAGCGACTCGTGAAGAATATCGTTCAATATAAATTACAAAGCTGCAGAAACTGTTCTCGTCGAGTCTCTACTTANGTCATGGACCTGTCTCTTATACACATCTAGATGTGTATAAGAGACAGGTCTGGGACTGCACCCAAAGAGTTCGACTCGTCGCTTTATATGGCGTGCCGAAGTATCGTGGATACGCACAAAGCTGCATGAACATTTTGTTCATGATATATTCCACCCAAATAAATTAAATGCTTCTAATTTTCTATGGCATATTTTCAGCAGTCTTGCACAGCTCCATACACACATCAAATAATTTAATTGCGAATAATTTTTTCATATATCACTGCCCAAAATTTGAGATATTATTTTACCAGCTGACTTAACAAATGAATGTGGAATCAAATGCTATAAAACGTTCACTTAAATGATTTGACATAGAACTTCATGCTACTAAACGAACTCGTTTCCATTGAAGATTGTAGGGATCTCGCGAGATGTTTAATTTGGAAATTAAATAAAGTTATCTCATCAGGTTCACTGGCAGAATTAAATGCCTAATGCATTTAATTCTGCCAGGGAACCAACAACAGCGCCTGAGACCCTAAAACACTAAACTTCGCTGCTCAACTCAGTTGGCACTTGGCAGCAGGGTGTTCGATGAGAATCATGAGATCATGAGCAGTGATTGTGAATGGTAAAATGGTTGTCCATACACCTTGATCTCGCCTTGAAAACTGGTGTTACAGACTCTAACCCAAATTAGATTGTGAATTGTTTACTAAATATATATATCCATACTTCAACGTGAGGCTGTGAGCATTATGAAAGAAACCACGGCAAGTGCAGCGGATTTGATTGATCCGGGAGCCGAAACAACAACTGACCATCTTAGTCTTACGGGTGGCCCGTGGGGCTGAAGCTGAAACAATAGAGCATATGCTCATATACTGCCCACTTCATACTTATAGGGTTGCCCGGAACGACCTGGCTTGCTCACTTGCAGCACTAAATGTTAACCTTTTGCTTAAAAATTTGCTGGGAGGAGGCCCCTTCTCCTCGGAGACTCAGAATGCTATTGTGGAGGCTGTCTCCATCTGCCTTATCTCTACTAACAAACTTAAATCTATATAGCTTTCTTGAACCCTGTATTTGATGCATTTGTTTGAGTACTCTTGAGTGTATAGGTACTTGGATAAATTTTCACACTTGCTATTTAGACAACATCATTGTTTACTGTTCTCAAGTAAAGTATGCTCCCATTAACATTCTGTGGAACTAATAATAACCTGGTAATATTTATTACTCCCCTCACTCCTTTGAGAGTGTAATCTGGAATGCAACCAGGGGTGCTCTACGCAGCTCAACTTTTGTAATGACTGCCCCATGATAAGTTGGACCAAGATCCGTGTCTCGTGTGCGGAATGTCTTCTCACATTGAATTTGCACGTTCTGTCGGAGCAACAAGCCGCACAATTTAATATTGATTTTTGAGCGCTTATTGCGGTAAAGTGCCAAGTCCTCGGTAATCTGTGTTGTAATAAAACCTAGGTTTTCTGTCAACACCAGTTTATATACTGAAGGCGAAAATAGTATTGCAGATTGCGTGCGATATTCATTAGCTCATTAGGGATTCAAAGTGCTGTATTATATAAATGCGTAGGTCACACTATACATGCGTAGGTCGCACTATATGTGTAGGTCACTCTATCTTAAAGCGTAGGTCGCATTCTCGTAGGTCGTAGGCACTATCGTGGCGTAGGCACTATCGTGGCGTAGGCACTATCGTGGCGTAGGCACTATAGACCTACTAATGCGTAGGTCGCACTATCTTGCTTTCATTTTGCCGTCACTTCGTTGAAAGCGCGGTACTTACGTATTTCCATCTAGGTGTTCTCTATCACTCTATCGGTGTTTTATACCTTGTAATATTTTCCTGTCATTGATAATATTTTACGATCTCGGGTGAGCCCGGTATCCTTTTCTCCTTCCGTCTTATACTGATACGTCTGTTCTTCGACCGATGTCCGCTTCGTTGGAAAGGATTCCCTTACGGAATAATTCAATATAATATCGATTTCGAGCAAAATTCTAAATAAATGCTCTAGCATGAAAAAATCGAAACCACTTATTGCTAGAAAGTTAAGCGCCTAATTTACTTCTATAATATCCCCTTCTCACGCTTCAACGCTAGATTTAGTGGCGGCATAATTCCATTTAATTGCCCCCATCCTTAAGAGAGTCTCTTTTTTGAGTGAGCCACCGCAGCTATCTCTATGCAGGGCTTGGTGAACTCTGTTGAGTGCATCTCAACAGCCGCCATTGTTTGCGTCAGGACTGGCTGCTGTTTGTTGCTGAGGCTATCCCCTCAACAGCCGCCACTGTTTGCGTCAGGACTGGCTGCTGTTTGTTGCTGAGGCTATCCTCTCAACAGCNGGAGGTGATGATGGGTGGTGGGTTTTGCACCCAACTCCATGTTCATCGGCAGCATGTTACTCGCACAGCATTGGGGGCAAGAAATAAGATGCGTTCGACGCCTCCCCGTACAACGGACTGCAAAGCACAAATGCAGCCACTGGGAGTGAGGAAGGGCTTCCTCACCGACACAGTCCCCGAATAGCTCTTTGGCACGGAGAACTGGCGGTCGGCTAGCTACCTTTTACGTAGCAAAGCGAGTCGTCCGATCACTTTCAAGCCCCCGCCGCGAGCAACAGCCAAACCGAAGACCAAAAGAAATTGGGGAAGACCAAAAGAAACTCGTCGCTTTATATGGCGTGCCGAAGTATCTTGGATACGCACAAAGCTGCAACGGAAAACATTTTGTTCATGATATATTCCACCCAAATAAATTAAATGCTTCTAATTTTATATGGCATATTTTCAGCAGTCTTGCACAGCTCCGTACACACATCAAATAATTTAATTGCGAATAATTTTTTCATATAACACTGCCCAAAATTTGAGATATTATTTTACCAGCTGACTTAACAAATGAATGTGGAATCAAATGCTATAAAACGTTCACTTAAAGTTAAACGAAACTGAGGCTACTGAGCCATATTTTATAAACTAAAATTGATGCAAAATCATTCATTTGAGGCGTGGATGTGACTACATACATCATGCTATATTAAAATTTCAATGTTTAATGAATAAAATTTTCATCGAATACCCAAATTAATTGTCATATTAATGAATGCAATATGAAGTTGAAATTGTTTGTACGACAACCTCTCCTAATCGTACGTCAGATTGTGCCAGTCACAGCAACACAGCAGCTTCTCTTGCTAGGGCAGCTAGGCTAGAATTTCAGAGATTTTCATGAATGGTTGCCAGTCTGCCTCCGTCTCGTGTAGTGAATGTGTGCACTGTCACCATCTCCGGCTCGCGCTCTAAGTCAACTCTCCTTTTCGGCTATCTTTCTCCGTGAGTACAATCCTGACTGGTTAATGTTGTGATATATTCTTCTCTATTATCATGAGTTAAATGTACAGAGACTCTTGAGTCTTGACATTTCGAGAGGTAACTTCTGTCCCCGGTTTTGACTAGGCCTACAGAGTAGAAACTTAATTCATTACATCATGCTTCATGTTCTTGGTAAAGCATGTTATGCCCATTTAAATTTATGCGTGCGTAGTTTAAGTTTCAACTTTTTTCTTTCTTTCGCTAATTATTCATCGTAAGTAGTAACCTTCAAAACCAAATACTAAGTTCTATTTATATTGACAGTAGCTTGACTGCAAGACTGTTGCCAGGTTTGTCCTGGCGCAAAAAAAAAAACTCGAGGTATTCTGTCATATCCTACTCGGTCATAATAATTTGTTAAACTAAATTGTTTTCCTCATTCACTGCCCTGCTCCTGCTGGGCCTGGCCCCATAAGACTTAGAGCTTCTTTATAACTTATTATTACTAATTACTTCATTACTAGGTATAGCTAACTTAGTTTTGTAGGTGATTAGGTTACTGCGAAGAGCGAGGCGTGGCTGAACGCAACTGCTACCTAATCTAATTTCTGACAGTAAGTAGATCGCGTTCATAATCAAGATCAAGTAACACTATTCACATCATGTAACCCATTTACCACATCATGTTATATATCATCGACTGCGTAGGCCTAAGTATATAGGTATATATATATATTTTTTTAATGATGCCCACAATCATTTTCAAAGTCCGTGAGGAGAGCGGAGTAATGCTAATCTTGCCAATTTTGACTAATTTATTTCATGTCATGAAGAATTGGATTGAAATCGCTTTGTGTCCATGAAAGTATTGAATATTCAGTTCAAATAAAAAGCATCCATGCAAGTAAATATACGTGTTAAATGTGGATGTGTAAATTGAAATTTGCTCACAGTGTCTTGATTATCTACTAAGTTTGTCCTAAGGTATGACTGTGGCTAAAGTTCCCGGAATCCTTTACATTATTTCAGTGCTTCTATATGCGGGTAATAATCCTAGTGAGCGGAGTATGATTCGCATCAATTGCATGGTTTTGAACTAATTTACATTGCTGGACTGCCTCTCGAGTCTTAGCCGTGATTCAAATTTTAGAGTCATGTGTTTACAATGAAGACGAGAATTATGACTAAAGACGCCTTATCACCCAAGCCATGGACACTTGAAGTTTCACCCGCTCTCGTTACTTACTTGCTTTTGCCGAACTCTGCTCCCGGAAATTAGATATAAGCGGCAACTTTTCACCTGCGATTTAAAATCTGTTCTATATTACAGTTCCGGTTTGAGTCTGCACATGAACAAAATATTGAGTTTTCCATGTTATTTATTGTTCAGTCCTAAATATAAATTTCGTATCATTAAAAAATTCCTTACCTATCAAACACTTGACTATACAGTATACATACATCAGATTTCGTCCTACTACCAGACTCAAGTTTTCAGGCGGCCTCCCGCGCAACGCAACTAAGCTCCCCGGTGTGAAGAGCACGCGCTGTTGTGGAAAATTTTACAGGAAATCTTATTCGCTGAACGCTCCCTCTGACGTAATGCGATCAGCAGACACGAGCTCTAGCAATCCCTTCCTGAGATTTAAGTCGACCGCGTGTGTCATGCGAGGTTATGATTTTCTCAGTAGGAAACGTAATTATACGTAATTCTGCACGACAGTTATGTTCTGTTAATGTTAGTCTCAATGATTCCGTTTCTGGTCAATCTTATTAATTTGAACTCCTATCTTGAGCCAAGAATCGTAGGTGCAGAAAATTCTTCACTCGGCTCTTACTGCCTTTAGTCCATTAAATAAAATTACGCCACATCGATATAGGCCGGATTCTGAGTGCATTCTATCTATCATCTTTGTTCCATCGAACAAACTAGCTTTCTTAGAGAACAAGTCGAGAGTCGAGACGAGCGCAACCAGTTCTGTCCTGCCCGCCTCATTTTTAATCGTACGTCTCGCAGTGAGCTGCAGAGTACGCCTCTAGAATTCCAAGCATCCTTGACAAGATGTTTTTGGCCGTCGCTTCAATACGAGAGTCCTTCAGCCAACCAGGGAGAACCTGACTTTTAAACCGTTCAGGAACGCTCCATTTTATTCGAAAAATGTCGTAGAAATGCACAGACTATTTGCAGACATTCTCTGATGTTATTGCATCGAGCCAAGAACTTTGTTTCGGATTTTGCTAATCTGCTTTGCCAACATTTATATCGTTCAATGTTCTTACGATTTCCTGTATGTCCAGCAATAAAGTTTTTGGAACAAATCCTTAAATGTGTCTAAACTTCTGTATACTAGAATCAAGTTAAAAAGTAAAGTGTAGGGTAGGCATTGCTTTGGCGTTTCGGTGACCAATGGAACAATTTGAATGCCAGTTATAATTTTTTTCGCTCGCAGCTATTTCTTGTTCGAGTTATTAGTTAATGTAGGGATAAGAGTGCCTTTGACCGGTGGTATTTCGTTAGTAAACCTTAAGTTTCATGAAAATATTACCTGGTAAGCAGATAACTTTCACCGAGCTTGAGGAAAAAAAGTCCCGGAACTGATGCTTACATGACGCAACTTATCCTCCGCACCTTGACAACTGCTGCGGAGTTGCCGGTATTTCCGGAGCTGTCACGTGCGCATCCGCATGCTCGGTACGCATGGATCATGCGCATCAGTATGCACGGTACGCATGGATCATGCGCATCCGTATGCACGGTACGCATGGATCATGCGCATCAGTATGCATGGTACGCATGGATCATGCGCATTCGTATGCACGGTACGCATGGATCATGCGCATCAGTATGCACGGTACGCATGGATCATGCGCATCCGTATGCACGGTACGCATGGATCATGCGCATCCGCATGCACGGTACGCATGGATCATGCGCATCCGTATGCACGGTAACGTCGGTACGCATGGTTCAGTCTGTGAGATCGGTAGTGCACGGAAATCTGATCGCGTTTCCTGCGTTTCTTATCTTATATTGGCAATAATTCTGCGTCATCTATCCGTTGTTTGCTGACCTAAGGTTCCTCACTTCTGCTATGTAGCTCAGTACTCTTAAAATATCTATCTATTAACAAATCGTTACTAAATCTTAAGCTGGGACGCTGCGGCACTAACATTTCACTTCCGAGATAACGCGCAGGCGAAAAAAATTCTCAAGCCCAAATTACCTTCATTGTATTTATTCACAATCGGGGCGAAATTTATGTCTTAAATGTCGACATAGGTTCAAAATACGCTATTTGCTTCAGTATTCTTAGTCTTTGGCCTAACCACCAGCTGAATTTCTACGTATTATTGCTCAAAAGTTTGCGAGGCTCAGGATGCGCTTACTCGGTCATCCTGGTGACTCGACGTTCTTGACGGAACGGGTGCCCTCGAGCGCCGTACACTCAAAAAATTAATAGATCATATTCTCTAAATAGTGACGCACAATCTTACCCACAGAACGAGCAGAAAATGGATGTAGCAATGATACGCTTTTATGCCAGCACTAACTGGGTCAGGATATAGCCCATAGAAAGGCAAAGAGTGAATTGCCAGTAAGAGGCACTCGAGGCAGTCTCGCTCTTTTTAGCGCATTTTCTCATTTATGGGAAAAATGCACTATTGTGCTCGTCATGTCCGTTGTCTGTATGTAGGACAATTGTATGCTCGTCTGTCTGTCCGTCCGTGACTTCACGTTTTCGTCGACGAGAAAATGCGCTCTCTGTCACTCGCTGCAGTGAGTACTGAGTTATATTTTTTTTATGAACGACATGTCAGTGTGTGAGAGTCTTCACACTCTCATGATGTCATCATCCGCCTGCTCACATTCAACGCTTCCGTTGCTTATTATACATCTGACTTCTTTGGTTGATGCAGGGTTATAATGGATACGGATTCATTGAGCTCTGTAGCTCCCGCATTGTACGTGACCAAGGATAAGCTCATTGAAAATAATTGCCGCTTACGTGGAAAATTTCCGCAGCTTGAAATTTCGGCATGAAATCGGAATTTTCACAGCTCACTAACGTACTTCCTATAAAAATTGCATTAGGCGCGTTCGAAACTTACTCCTCGTCTTTATAATTCTTGCTCGAAATGTAATGAAAATAATTTCCATTATCTTTATCTATAGAAACATAACACGACCATTTCCATTTAAGTGGCACATGCTTCATTGGCATGAAAACCGATTACAAATATTTTCTTTGAAGCTTCATCTTGTGCTTATTAAAAAAAAAACGAAATGCCTCTTTTAATAGCACTCGATCTGCGTGTGAGACTTGTGGTCTCTGGCGTCCTTGTGTTTGCTTTTCATTTCGGTGGCGGCATCCGCGCACTGCAGGCCAAGTGAGTAGTGGTGATGGCTGCGCCTATGCAGCTTTGGGGTCGAACGGATCGTCGGATCAGAGAGCGGTATGAGGCGTAAACGATCGGTGGGCGAGTGTAATAGACGAGCGTAGGTTATGTGGTTGCGTTGAGTCATGAATGTTAGGTGGGCAAGTCTAATAGACGAGCGTAGGTTTTGTGGTTGCGAGGATGAGCCATGAATGTGTTAGTGTAATAGGTGGCGAGTGTAATAGACGAGCTTAGACTTTGTGGTTTCGTTGAGTCATGAATGTCAGGTGGCAAGTGCAATAGACGAGCTTAGGTTTTGTGGTTTCGTTGAGTCATAAATGTTGGGTGGTAAGTGTAATAGATGAGCGTAGGTTTTGCGGTTTCGTTGATGAATCGTGAATGTCGGTTGGGAGAGTGTAATAGACGAGCGTAGGCTTTGTGGTTTCGTTGACGAGCCATGAATATTCGGTGAGGTAGCTGAGAGACTGGGGGTATGTTTGTTGACTTACATGTTAATGAGCCACGAATGATAGACTGGTGTAGATGCCGCGATTTTATGATGATGAGCCTTGAATGATTGATTTGAAGAGATTGGGGGGACTTCGATGAAGATGAGTTGAATGGTGACGAATAGTAAAATCAAC